TTCATATATCACTAGATTCTGCAATGGGTGCTCTCGTGCCCTTGTATATTTCGGTATTGTAATTTTGTAATCTGCAATCTTGCAAGAGCAAGCGAATACCCTTAATGACACCTGAAATTCAGAACAAACGCAATTGGGTCGTTTGATTGTAAAGCAAGTTATTTGCTCACTAATAACAATATAAAACTCCGAAAAATTCGATAATCTGAAGAGTTGTTATTAATTGAGGAATTAATTATTGAAAAAAATAGTACTGCATTTTTGAAGAACCAGTTGCTTCAGGTATATGCGTGTATAAATATATATAAGAGATCTGCTGATGTAATACAAAGTAACATACTTTTTATTTTTATTATATTTAAAATTAATAATTAATTTGTATTCACCTTCTGCTCAGCGTATACAATAGACTTACATCCCTATTCTGATAGAACCTCATTATTGGTCTGTGAGGTTATTCTTGCTCAAGAATGATAGAAACAAAGATTGCGCAATGAAGAGTTAAAATTTCGTTCGTTCTGCACATCTACGTCCCGGTTGACCATGGTACAATCAGCTGATTTTCAGTTGTTTGTTTTTCAGGCATACAAAAATATTAATATCATCAAAAGTTAACATCAATATAAGTGAATATTTTATAGTGAACATTTACCTACATATTCATTTCATAGTATTATTTAATTTTGTCTCTTTGTTGTGTTTGTTTTCAACCATATAAATTTATGCAAATAAAAAGATTGAATTTTTAATATTTTGATAATTACTGGTTAGAGATAAGTAATTCCCTTCCAAATCTGGTGTGTTGTCGACTTTGACATTTCCTTCATCTGTAACCGCTCCTTCGTTATGACCAAGTATATAGGAACGCAGCCTATATTTGAACTCCTGCCTGTCAGGGTGATCGTGAAGACCGCCTTTTAACCTGATTTTTAAGAAAACCAACAAGATAAAATAAAAAAATGGACAATCAATAAAAGAGTGTTATTATGCAAATTTAATCAATTTGATGCATATAAAACAATTCTATTTCTTTTTATATTTTCAAAATGTGAAAGAACAACTCAGGAGCAGCTGCAGCATTACTGGGTATTATTACCCATGTATTAAAAACGCACATACATATTTACAAATATTATTCTGTCTGCATTATTTATACAATAGTGAGGATGGTGATTTTTGTGAGAGCTTAAGAATAGGTCTATTACTTATTTTTATCTTCAATTTATGTTTGGTAGGCATGGGCTATAAATATCGGTAACCGTAAAATCGATGATTTTATATTAACACTTAAACAGCTACACCGTGCAGAAGTGAGGCATCACGGAATAGTTTTATTATTTAATATTTGGTTAGGAACGATTAGATTGCTCTTCTATCAGCTTAAAGTAAAATGATTACAATTTTAAGGACAATATCTAGAAATCTTATTAATAAAAAGTTTTCTGTTGGTAATCGCGTTTGCTTTCCTCAACGACCGACATATTTTCATTCAGGTGCAATTTTATGTTGTGATGTAAAGCCGGAAGAAAGCGTTAATGGTTCTGAATCCAATAATCTTACTGCTGATGAAATAAAAAAGCGGCAAAATGACCGAACACAAGTTATTCCAGTAGAAACATCCATGAGATACCTTAAAAGTTCCGCATACAAAGAAACCTATGGAGATCAATTAGTTTGGGAGCAGTATAGGTACGAATATTCTGTATATTTGTATATATTTATTTAATATTTTTTTATCGTAGGCGTAACCACAAAGGAGCCATTCCACCGCGTAAAACACGTAAAACTTGTATTAGGAAAGGAGTAATATCTACCGGAAATCCTTGCCCTATTTGCCGGGATGAATATTTAGTGTTAGACCACCGAAATATTGACCTACTGCAACAGTTTATTTCGCCACACACAGGTCAAATTCTAAGTTATTCTAAAACTGGCCTTTGCCAAAAAAAACATTTTGAATTAACAGTGGCCGTTGAACGTGCACGGGATTATGGACTTATAACTTTTGACGTACCATTTAGAGAATTCGATCTTGACGAATACTACGGAAAAGCTGAAGTAAAAAAAGAATAACAAACCTATACTCTTTAAATTTACATAATATTTTAGTAATTTTTTATGTGGAAGAAACAAAATAATGGCTTCAAATAGTGGTGACGATATTACACAATTCGAGGAGCATACATCGACATTCCTTGTAGTTGGCGGGGGGATCGCAGGTGTAACCTGTGCGGAAACATTAGCAATTTACCATCCAGAAAAGAACATAACCTTAATAACAGAATCGAGCGTTATAAAAACTGTAGCTAATTTAGAACCCGTGGCAAGATATGTTTATAAATTTGACGTGAAAGAACAATCGTTGAGCGATAAAAGCTCATGCCATGTTAGCTTTTCACCTGCAATTGTAACCATTGTTGACCGGCTTAAAACTATAGAGGCATTGAATCATTTCGTTATCACTGAGAATGGTCGACGTATCTATTATAAATATTTATGTCTCTGTACTGGTGCTACACCTAATCTAGTTCTTGATAACAATCCTCGAGTTATTGGAATTCGTGACACCGACTCAGTTTTAACACTTCAAGATTTTTTAAAACATGCTAAAAAAGTTACTTTGCTCGGTAACGGCGGTATAGCAAGCGAACTTGCTTATGAGTTGCATGGAATTGAGGTACATTGGGTGGTCAAAGACAATCATATTGCGTCAACCTTTGTCGATCCAGGTGCAGCCCATTTCTTGCAAGAATCAATTCACCTCAAGCAACGAGAGGGCAGCAATGCGGACAAAGAGAAAACACAATCCATTTCTGTTGTTAAACGTCTTAGATACAAGGAAATACAATCAAAAGAACTATGTAAAGAAAACAGAAAAATTCGTGGCGCAGCTTTGGGACCCGATTGGCACAGGAATTTCACATTAACTGGTAATGCATTAACTACAACTGATTCACCGATTATACACTACAAGACACATATTAAGGAAATAACAGACGAAAATAAAAAATTATTAATTACGCTCAACAATGATGAACGTATTGAATGTGACTTCCTTATATCCGCAATCGGTGTCGAACCCCATCATAATTATTCATGTTCGATCCCTTTATCTATGGGATCCGACGGTGGAATCGCCGTAAATGACATGATGGAAACAAATGTTTTAGATATTTATGCTGCTGGCGATGTTTGTACCGCTATGTGGGAGCATGGTGATCACTGGTTTCAAATGAGATTGTGGACTCAAGCTCGCCAAATGGGTTGTATGGCCGGACGTAGTATGGGCGCAAAATTAACAAAAGAAGTGATTTATCAAGACTTTTGTTTTGAACTTTTTGGACACGTGACTCAGCTATTTGGTTATCCTGTTGTTCTTCTCGGCAGATATAACGGCCAAGGTCTAGGAACCGATTACGAGTTACTGATTCGCAGTACTGCTGGTAAGGAGTATATAAAATTTGTACTACAAAATGGCCGTTTACGAGGAGCAATGTTGATTGGGAACACAGAACTTGCTGAGACTTGCGAAAACCTAATATTAAACAAAATTGATCTTACCCCATATGGAGATGACATTCTTAATCCGGATATCGACATTGAAGATTACTTTGATTAAAAGTCGTTGAATTACAATATTTTGTTTCTTTTCATATTAGTATAAATTCAAAATTAAATAATATATAAAAACCACTGTTCATTTAACCTTTTGTCATTTGATTTTTGCCTCATTACCTGGGAATAAAATAGCATTAATTTTTGGACCGCATGGGGTTAAATTTCATACTCACCGACGTATTTAATTTCATCAAAAGCTTTCCTGGCTTTCTTTAACTCTTCATTCATAGTCAATAAATCTTTGACACGTGCATACTTCCTTTGATCTTTTCTAACTAAAAATATGATATCTTCTACTTGTACACGCCCAGTACGTCCGATTTCCATTGCTTTGTGGGTCATTTCCGTTATAAATTCAATAACAAGATCTTCTAATAAATCTACACTCTCAGTATATGGATTCTTATCATCACCAAATCCATACATCATACATCGAAGCTCCTTGCTGAAAAGCCTTTTCCTCCCAGCCGTAGTGGACACAAATTGTTCCTCACCAAGCTCATCTTCGTCGAACTAAAACAAATTACCAGAATTACATACATGTAGAGTACAAAAACCAGATTTTCAACATACATCCTGACTTTCAAAATTTTCGTCAATATTTGTGTTTGTTGTCATTTTATCAACTGATAATTGAATGCCAGTGTTTATTTACTTCTAAAAACGAACTAGTTATGACAAAGCATGTAAATATTATCGATTAACTTTTAACCTAAAATATACAAAAACTAATTTAGAGATGGTAGCGGACATCAAAAGTTTTGAGAAAACTTTATACTATGTTCGGACCGACATTGAAAACATTTTGAAAACACATTTGTGGGTTGTGGAATCTAATAGTATGTTTACATACGAACTTAATCTCGCTATAAGCTTGTTCAATAATCTACCCGTTTAGGCAAATGAGATTATCAACTGTCAAATTTGTTGTAATTGTAATCTTCTTGGTGAATTGTAAACTTTCATCTATTATAATGATTGTACGGAATATCTCTTATATCTTCAATCAAAGCTTCGAGCATTGATGGGCCAAGTACATTTTTTATTAGCATTGAACACTTAGGTCGATGAATTTTTAAGTTTTTTAGAGCATCTGATGAAGGATCTAATTCAGGGAGTATACTAATTAAATGATCTACAGTCAACAAAGAACAGTGCTCGGCGATAAAGGCAGCGATTTTCAACTCGGCAATTTCAGAAATAGATTTACATGCTTTTGCAAATTTTTCCCAGGCTGCGGCTTGTTTATGTTTTTCAGTTTTAGCGTGATTAACCAGGTCTTTTTTGTGGGCTTTTAAAACTACACGGCAATATTTACAGGTCGCCGATGACTCACTGTTAATATTTGGAGCAAGCCAATCTGCAATAAAAACATAAATTATAAATTATTTTATTGAATTATCAATTGAATGACACATGCATAGTTGCGAAATATAATCACATGCTTTGATTTTGGTGGAAAGATAGGGAAACATTCAATCATGGCAACACCAACAACACTCAATTAATATATGAAAAGACCAAAGCAGCCAAAGCATAAAACTATTTGAAAAAAAACAATAAATTTTTATAAAATTAAATACTGGCTCTATTCAGACTAATGACTATGATGCTCATCATATACAATGTGAATCTTATTAAAGCAACTTTTTTAAAATGGCGGTCTCAGAAACTCATTACACATCTATCGATGCAACTGTGTTCGAAATGCCAAGTTTAAGCAGCGATGCACATCAAAACTCAGCGTTGGCCAACGTTGAGCAACGTTGAGTTAGTCTGAACAGAACCATTGTTCAAGTATGCATTATGTCTAAACCCGAAATCAATTTTGAAAAAGTCATAACATGTCAAATATCACCAACACCGCTGACCAGCTCACCCACTCCAACAACTACCTGTATACCTAACTAAATAAAAAAAAAAACCTTTTTTAATTGTATTGAAGAACGATTACTGCCATACAGCAGTAGTTAGATAACGCCTATGGTACTCTAATAAAAAATCATAAATATTGAATTGAATTATTTGGCTTGATCATTTATAAATTATAAACATGCAATGAAATCTATTTACCTTTTAGGTCTAGATCTGTTTCCCAAATCTTCGTGTACTTCTGACTGTACGTTTTTTTTATTTGTATTGTCCTTCGGCATCTTTAACAAACCAAAATTGAAATAACAACTGTCTTAAGAATATTCTTAACCTATTTTTTGGCGGTATCCTATCTGACATAAGCTAATGTCAAACATACCAACATACGCCGCCATATGCACAGGCTATAAAATAACCGCCAGTGGCGCCAGTATTGCCGCCAGTCACAGAGTGGTTGTAGAATTACGAACTAGATGCCGTTATGAGTCGGTATGTCGGGAAATAAATATTAATGCTTATTGCTTGCAATATATGGAATACTAATTAGTTTGCAATAAGCAATATGGAGTCTCCACTGCCAATAGGCACGGCAATACAGTTTGTAAGGCATAGATTTTATCCTGTCGAGATGTCCCGTAAACAAATATCAAGTGACAATTAAAGGCCGGCAAAATTCACCAGCAATGGAATCCGCTGTCAAGGGAACGCGGGCGACATTGTCATAATGGCGAGAGGTAGATTTGAGAAGACTCTCTGTGACATTGTTCAAATTGGCTGTGGAAGGGGGAAGATAATGTCCTCTAGACAGAAACCTCAAAAAGAAGTTCAAAGTTACCCTACGCAGCAAGACGGAGTGGAGTGATTCCACGCTGGAAAGGCTGCTGGAAGACAGTACAATTCAGTGGTACACTGATGGTTCAAAAACATCGGAATGTATTGGAGCAGGTATTGCGGGACTACTAAGCTGTCCATACCTATGGGATGCTTCCCAAGTATCTTCCAGATTGAAGTCAAGCGGCATTAAAAGCAAACTCATCATATGATGAGATTCTATGCATTCCTCAACTAAAAGCGATTTGGTCTCGTATGACAAGATCGCTTTTAGAGCCACTTGACTATTGCTGAGAATAGCTATGCGCTGGTTGCAATAGTTGCGGCTGAGGTTGACTTCAGAGCAATGATAGATGGCAAAAACTTTTGYCTGGAAGATACTTGGGAAGCAGCCCATAGGTATGGACAGCTCGGTACGTGGCCCCGCAATACCCGCCCCAATACMTTCCGGGGTTTTGGAGCCATCAGTGTACCATTGAATAGTACTGTCTTCCAGCAGCCTTTCCAGCGTGGAGTCACTCCAATTTAATTTTCTTCGTGGCGCTGTCCTTTGGGAAGAGGGCTAGCGGTGTGCTTTCCGCTAGTGCGTCCATCTGTCTGGAGGACATTACCTTCCATCTTCCACAGCCTTCTGCTGACATTAGCAGCATGGTGTGTTTTGCTGATAGCTTGATCAGCTGATGTAGCGGTTTGAGCTCTAGTATGACTTCAAGTGCCATCGTGGGCCATGTGCGCAATGCCTCCGAAGCACAGACACATGCAAGTTTTTGCAGCT